TATATACCACAATATTAACTTCTTATTATTGAATTGTTGTAAATAAATATCACAATGCAACTGGTCAATGTTCAAAAAAAAAAAAATGCTAGGAAATCACTTCACATAGCCCTACAAGAGTGATTACTGATTTTAACAAAGTCACATTTTAGAGAAGAAAAAAAATCATCCATTGACTTTCAAAGCTGCAACATTGTAATTAATGACTTTCTACTTCGCGGACCTTGATAGAAATTCTTTGTTTCATAAGGTATGAGAGTGTTGCTTCAAGAAATAAATAAGTTGGGTATTCCTTTGCAAAACTCAGCCAGTGAGAAGCATGAAATGTTATTTAGTTCTCACGACTGGCGTATGAAGTTGGAGCCCTGTACTTTTCAGCCTTGTGTTGAAGCTATTGATTCTCTGGATTCAGGAAGCTCATCTCAGGAGGAGCAACTATGAGTTGGTATGTATTTCACTGAGCATATCTATACACAACTATCTTTAACATTTACGCTACTCTTTTCCACAACCAAAGCATAGTGACCAGGCTCCAAAAATGTATGAGATTTGGGAGGATTTTTTTGATTACATAATGAGTTCCATTTTGCTACGTTCCCCACACAAATATAGCCCTCAATTCATATGAACTACTTATATGCTGCTTTCAATACTGTATATGCATTTGTTGTATGGAAAACACATCAGTATTCTGCCTATTGTCAATTTTTATGTCTTCAATAAAAGAAAGAAAACACAAGAACAACATGAGTCAATTATAAGAGTAATTTTGTAGTATTTAGTTGTCACTTCACAATTAGAATTCACCATACTGTTCCAATGAGTGTATGGGATCTCTATAAAAATATGCACTCATCTGTTTTATGCAGCATGAATCATTAAAGTACTTCTTTGACAACATCCATCGTATTGGCCAGCTGGTGAGTAGTTGAGTAAATCAGAAGTATTTGCTGAATTGATGGGACATGCTAGCACATATTTGGCTTAAGTGACATCTATTAAACAACAGCAGTGTAAACTTTTTAGAGGTAAATGGGAGACCATAGAAAATGTTATTTTTTGCATTCCTATTTGCACTGAGAGCAAAAGAAAAAAAAAACACTGCTGCGTTTAATAAGGGTGTAACAGTTTAACCCCATGGTTCGATCATCATTATACAGTTTATCATTTGCATGAGTTTTTAGGTCTTGCGAGTTTAAATATGTAAGCCATTTTAAACCATCAAGCACAAGCAGATGCTATAAAAAAACTCAGTTTGGTTGTGTTTTAAGTGAACAAACATTTGAGAAACATAAACAGTTGAGAAAGAAATCACATATCGTGTCAATATATTGGATCTTTAGGTGTGCATTAGGTCTTAAAATGACAGCAAACTAATATACTTACCTCTGCCTGTCATTAACAACAAAAGACAAAGAAAAAAAACTATTATTGACTGAATAAGTTTTGTAGCTTTTTAAAAAGATTAATCTTTTTTTTTTCTGTTTATTTACCCTGTCATTGTTCCCAGATGTGTCTTGTTTGCCTATTACCACTTGTGTATTTAATCACTCTGTGGTTCTTGGTTTTTGCTCCTCGTGTTTGAATTATTAATAAAATTGCATTTGCATCCTATTCACCCTCACCTCTGAGTTTACACCATCTGCACAGGTAAAAAATTGCAATTGCAAGGGAAGAAGTCAGAATTGTGAGATAAAAATTTGCGGTTACCTCTTATTATTTTTATTCCATGGCAGAAACAGAAAAACAGAATTGCGATATTGTAAACTCAAGAATTGCTAGAAAAAAAGTTCGAATTGTGTGATTAGTACTTTAATCGTTCACTCAGCTGTTGTATTAGGAAACCCCCTTGCAGCAGTTTACTAGTTTTTTTTATTGTTATTTTTAAATAATATTATTGAAATGAAGGTTCGTTGGTTGTATTATGGGGGTGTGAAACACAGTAGGCAGTCTGTCAGGACTGAGTGAGATGGTTTCTTAATTGAAGAGAAGCACTCAATGGAGTTGGTTGATGTCTGATTTATTGAAAACTTTGTGGGTATACATGGATGTGGTTTTCTGAAATGGATTAAACAAGAGAAATAAACTTAATGATATGAATATACAAATGTTCCACAATAAACATTAAAACACTAAACAGCACCCAATATAAATATAACCATGCTATATTACACTATTTAACATGGGCGCTTATGCTCTAAATGTTCACAAGGGGACGCTATCCGCACATGAATGCAGTACGAGGGCAGGGTAACATGCCTGGACATGTACTAAGTGGATGATTGCTACATGCAAACAAGAACCGTCGCATAACGCGCGCACATAATGATAAGGTTAATATTCAATAATAACACAATGTACAGCATATAAGTATCTCACAACAAGGAATATCACAGAAATACTCGCGAATGCACTGAATAGAGCAGGCAATACAGGCAGCGCCATGCCAACCGGCCACTCCTCAATCGGCACAAGAACAACAGCTGATCACTTACTTCACATGTACGCACACTGTAACCCAGTGTAAACTCGAAGTCAATGTCTTTAAAGTAACTCTGAATGAACTAGAATACAGCTGCCAAACTCTCCATCTTCTCACATTCGCTGTCTCTCTCTATCCTATGATTCAGCTCCGCCTCCCGTGGTGACGTTGCATCCGCGCTGAACATTCTGATTGGTCAGAATCATCCGTGACTTAGAGACAGCCGAGCCTTTTGTACAACTATAATATTAAAATTGTAATATAATTATATGTACATAAAATTAAAAAATTAAAAAAACTTTTTTTACATTTTTGCATCATCACAGTCTGTGAAAAGGGTCTTTTGTGCACCTGACCAAACATCACATTATATATAAGGGAGTTATTTTTTAATGACTCACTGACACACTCTTTGTACTTGCAGAACTACTTGCCATATAATCAGGACATTCTTTATGCACATAACTTTGGAGAGCAGTATTTCGTGCTCCGTGATATCCCATTCACGGTAGCAGAAGTCTCTGTCTGTAATTATATTTTGAGAAAAACTGCCACATTTTGATATCAACACATCATTGGATGCAATGATTACGACCGAACCATCTTTGAGGACAACTGCATGGTTGATTCGTTGAATGATTTTGAGAGCTTCTGCTGTCAGAAGAGATGAGGCTGCGCAATTAATCTAAATAATACTGAAATTATGTATACAGCCTAATGCGCTGCATGTTACAGAGTGAAGAACAAAAAAAAAAAAACTAGAGTTTGTATGAAAATAAGATATAAAATGTTTCGTATTACGATATTTTGTGTACGAAAATTAAAAACTATTATTAAATAGAATAAATTATTACATATGTGATCGTTTGTGTTTATTTTTCGCCTGTGTTTTGATCCTAAGATTTAGTACTTTTTTAGAACATATGTAATAGCGCCCCCTACCGTATAACAGTGAAAACATGGAAAGCCTGAAAATTCCATCAATGGAAAGAAAAGAGTTAAAATATGTTATATCTAAGGGGTTCAGCTGACCAAAAAGCTTCAGAAGTTTTTGTAGAAACATTGAAAAGTTCCAGCGAAAGAAAAAAAATCAGAAAATACTTAATTGAATTTGAGACTGTACATCTTCCTTTATTAAACCGTAAAAAAGGTCTCAAACGGTTACACGGTATATTCTCAATAGCAATCCACTATATTCTCTTCACTCTGCTGGGCTGCTGAAAGAATGTCTTCCATTAGCGATCGGGGCGAATTCACAACATGATCACTACTTAACGTCAACATCCTCTGCATGTCATCTAGATCTAGAATCTGCAGTATCTTGGGTAGGCTAATGTCTTTGGAGCAGTGTAAATCACAGTCCGTTCCCTCATCAGATCCTGTAACTCCATTTGTGACACACACAGATGCTTTGGCCTGTTGTTTGTTGAGGTATCTTCTCTGCACCTCATCCCCCCATCTGTTCCCACATACATTTAAGACAAGAACGCAGTGATCCAAATCTGCGGTCTCAGCTGTAAGTGTTCTGAGTTTGACCAAGAGTGCACAGGCTTTCTCACACACTGGTCTGTCACAGTCAAACAAGCTGTTAAACAGCAAGTCAAACAGCCCAAAATCTTTAAACTTGATCAAGGCTTGCGGAAAGCGAACTTCAGAGGAACCGAAGTTCTGGACTGCATACGGACAGCAGGTCAGTGTCTTCTCCATCAACACTTCTGCTAGCTCCAGTGTGTGCATTTTCACTTCCCAGTCAAAATCGCTGCCTCCCAGTGACAGGACGGAGCTCAGGGATGACTCCAAGGCCGTTATGAGGTGTGATCCTTTCAGCCATGATGTGAAAGCTTGGACCACTGCTCTACGAGGAAAGCCCTCTGTGTCCTGAGAGAGAATGGCCATCATCTGCACCAAAGCATCCTCCTAAATTCCAATATTGCATAAAAAATGTGTGATTAGACTGAGAAACTAAAAAAACTAAGAATATCAACATGCTGCCAAGCTTCAGATCATTAAAATGATCAATAAGATCAGGAAAGTGTTGTAGAACTCAAATCTGGTCAAAACTGGCGGGTTGCAACAGTCAGAGTTTAATTCTTGTTTAGTGAAGAACATACCGTTTATGAATTAGGGATAGTTCATCCAAAAACTTATATTAAAAAATGTCTTGGCTCTTCCAAGCTTTTTAAAGGGGTCATATGACGTTGCTAAAAAAAGAAAAT